CATTTACGCTTTATTACCGTTTGAATGCTGAGTCAGCATTTACGCTTATTTTCAGTTTTTTTTTCTTTAGTTTGAGATCTAAATGTTTCTGCAGACTTTGTTCTATTTCATCCGTTCATACATGTTCAGCTCATTCCGGGGTTGAGAGCTACGACTTCTTGTTTTAGTAACTTTTATTATTTTAGAGATATTTGGCTTTTATTCATAAATACATTAAGATCTCTTCAATTCTTTAAGAAACATCTGCTTCAGCTAGGCCTGTCACGATAAACAATAAATCAATTAATCGCATGAACAATTAAACTTATTGACCTAATTTTCATTTATCGGTTTTATCGTTTCTTCGTCTCTTTCTACTGAAGACTCTGAATGACAAAAAGTTCAAGTCCGGTGTTCTTCACTGACCCCTCCCTTTCTCTTTAAAATCTGTTTTAATTCAATTCAATTCAAAAATACTTTATTAATCCCAGAGGGAAATTAAATCACGTCCAAAATTGCGTTTTTGGATCGTTAAAAGCAGCTAAGCTGAGAAGCTAAGTTACGAGCTACACTAACAGGCCGACCTTGGTAAAAAACCTCCGTCTTGTCGAAGCTCCAAAATTCACGGTTGAAACTCGTGCCTTCGTCTAAAAAGTTGTTTTTCTCTGCAAAAAGAAGCTGAGAACTTGTTTACTGATATTTTCTTAAAAGCTTTGTGTGAAAGATGCTAAAGAGCTCAAAATACACCGAGCGTCCGCAATTCTGAGAACCAAAAAAAGGGAGAGACAGCCCATGCCACGTCAAGAGGCCTCCCTCCCATTTTTCTTAAAGCGACACGCTGCTAGCTCCCTCACTATCCATCCTTCATGCAAAAAGTCTTATACTGCCATCCAGTGGTCAAAAAGTACTACACACAAAAATTAACCAAAATGTCTTCTGAAATTTGACAACAATTACTAATTATTGTCAAGTTTCAAACAATATTATCGTTTATTGCAATAATTTCAGAGACCATTAATTGCCCAGTAAAATGTGTTATCGTGACAGGCCTAGCTTCAGCTACTGGTTGTTTTTCACTTCTTATGCTAGTTTAAGCTTTTAGCTTCTGTTCTGACCGTTGTAGCTTTTAGCAAGCTTTTTGATACATTTAGCCTGTAGCTAGACTTTTGCTATTTTCAGATTTTAGCTGGCCTTTTGCTACTTTTAACTTCAAGCTAGTCTTTTGATACTTTCAGCTAACCTTTTACTATTTTTAGTTTTTAGCCAACTTTTTGCTACTCTATTAGACTTTTGTTACTCATAGCTTTTGCTTATGTGACTTTTAGCTTTTAGCTAGCCTTTTGCTACTTTTATCTAGCATTTTGATGATTTTAGTCAGTTTCTTTTACCTAACCCTGTGCTTTTTAAGCTAGCATTTTGCTACTTAAAGTTTTTCGCCAGCTTTTTGCTACTTTTAGTTAATCTTATAATACTTTTGTCTTACCGTGTACTTGTTTAAGTTAACCTTTTGCTACTTTACCTTTTGACCAGCCATTTGTTAACTTTAGTGTTTAGTTAGTCTTTTACTCTGTTGCTTTTTTCCAGGTCAGAGCTGATGTCGACCGGGTTTCATCCTTAAATAATTTCTAAAAGTCACGTTTCACTTTGAACAGAGGCAGAAATAACATGAGCCAGAAGTTCCTCAAGTTAAAGTTTGTTTTGTTGTTTAACTCCCGTTTTGAGGGCCTTTAACTTGTTCACCACCTCAGAGCGGCCTGTTTTTATTTTGATTTTCATAAGTTTAACGTAAAGTTTTCACGAGAACAGAAGAATCTAAATCTGGGATTAGACCTCCAGGGAACGATTCGCAGCCGTTCACAACAGAGTTGGAGCCATTTTTGTGTTTTATTCAGCTAAATTAGCCGTGGCAGCCATCTTGAATAAGCTTTGCTCCAACAGTTAGTTGTGGACGTGCATCCATTGATTAATAGTTTCATAAAATCCATCCCGTTGTTCACGAAACATTTTCTCAGACAAAAACAAAACACGATCACCCACCTCCTAATGATCTTGTATTTATTGATGGTTCTCCTTGTATGAGGATGAGTTGTGATTAAAGTTTTGTATAAACATATTAAATCACTCAACTGATACAAAAACGGGACAATAATCTGAACAAATAATCTCGTTTGGTGACTCCGTTTGCAGGGATTGAAATAATCTCAGAGGAGTTTTGGATGGTGAGATTTAGTTTCTGTTGTAGCCTAAAGGAAAACCTTACTTGTATATTCTGTTTATTTTTAAGCTTGCTATGAAAAGGCGTGTTCCAACCACCGGTTTGATGGTGAGGAGGTCTAAAAAGGGGCAGCGGGAGGAACACGAAGTGACTGTGCAAACAGATTTAATCCGGAACACAGACAGGCGGTCGTATCGGTGAAGGGTCAGTGGAATCTCGGCTTTCGCTGCATTTTGTCAATATTCCAGGTCAGTTCATGAACCCCTGAGCAAATTTAAATCTCGGAGAGTAATCACCGAATGTACAACTGATTAACCTTTGAAGTCAGCCTGATTCAAGATGGCCGCCACAGCTAACTCACAGAAACGGCTTTAAAACATTCAGTTTTACAGATATCGAGTTCAGATTCGGTGTGGTTGTAGCTGAGAGTCATCCCCCACACACACTCCGAGTGCTAACCAAAACCTTTTTCTAAAACTTGACATTGACTATTGGAGTCAACCCTGTTGGTGTGTTAGCAAAATATCTCATTAACCAGCTCAGCCCGAGCACGCAGAGGCAACTCGACGTGATAAGAAGTAGGGAGAATATAAGACCAAAAATAGAACACAGAAAACTGTAGAGGAACGACCGGGTCCTCAGCTCGTTGAATTTTTATCAGTAATTTTATTCTGAAGGGGCACCACTTGCTTTCCGGTTCTTAAGCAAGAAAATTATTAAATTATTAAATCAGACTCAAGTTTTAGTGCTATGGTGAGTTCTTTTCGTATTAAATTCAAATGTCATATATAATAAAAACGCTTTGAGTCAAAAGTACAATTTTAAGAGGTTTATTATCGGTTTTGGTGAATATAAGTGGTCTAAAGAATCACGAGTACAGCTGAAGAATGAATCATGGCTTTACTTTGACAACACAAGAGGTTAGGGAATTATCTTCTAAACTTTAATATGGTGAATTATGAGGTTCAAAAAGCAGTAAATTATCATTATAAAGTTAACTAAATGAAGTGTTTTGGCTAGAGGTGATTTGTCAATTTAGGAAGACTTAATTCTAATTAATAATGATGAATTTTGTTAGACTGGACAACTTAAGTTAAAGCGCCGAAGGTGGGATGTCCCTCGACATCAGCTGAAATCTGGAGTCGACAGTTATCTGGCTCCCGATGGGGTCAGTTGATGAGCTCCCGGAGTTTTCTCCTTCTGGTGTCAACGATCTTCTGGCATAAAATTCCGATTGCTTGACCTTTCTTCTTCAAAAGCTTCTGCTCTAAACTAAACGTCAGAATAACTTTCTTTGACTTAGACGGCGTTACAATATTGATGGTCGACCCATTCAAAACCGAAAGGGTGGACCTTTTGTTTCAGGTTACTGTTTCATTTGAACTTTAATAACCTTAATAAAAATAAATGGCTAATTTACTCTGCTTTGGTAAATTCTCAATACAACGGGATAATCGAAACTTCTAAACAGTTTTTACTCATCTATAAATATTTTCATTAGAACTTGTGCAAACACAGTTGAAACCTCTGATTACCAGTTTTACATCTACTTTCTCTTATGCATGATTAAAACTGAGTATTGAACTGAGAAAGAAGTAAACAAGTTATTCCATAGCAGTTTTACAGCAAAACATTCAGTTGTGTTCAGGAGAACTCAGAAATTTAAATTGTTCAGAAAAATGATTTCTACCGTGGGATGGCAAGAGTCCTCGAGGAACGATGGGTCTTTCCCACCCTCTAGGACCGCAGGACGAATCCTCCCTTTTAGCAAGAGATACACGTAACGCTTCAGATGTTGTATTTCAACGGTCAGATGAAAGATTCTCATACAACGGGCCTTTCAGCTTTGCTGAAATCATAAGAACAGGAGTGCAATTAATAACAATAACAGATTTTTGTTATTCACTTTTTGGTAACATGGTTTCTTACTGTCCAGCTTTGGGAATGAGAGTCAGTCTTACTTTCAAAGTATCAAAAGAATAAAAGTCGATGGTAGAAAAAACCTTGATGTGTCCCTACAAAACATTAGATAAATAAAATTAGAATAAACAAATTTATAGAGTTGGTGCATAAGAATATACGATAAAACATATAAAACCCAGATCTCTGCCTAATAAAACTGATCGTTTGAGACTGTTGGTGTTTCGTACCGGAGCAGAAAACTAAAAACTTCGACCCGTTCCAGTTCTAGAGATTCTTGGAACAACTTGGAGACCTGCATGCCTGGACCACCGGGTCCTCAAAGTAATCAGTGGGCGTTGCTCTGCAGCAGATTAAATGTTGAAATCAACAAGTTTCAGCACAAAACTCATCAGAAATGTTTTTTTCTTTCTTTTGGCTCTAAAATCAGCTCCTGACGTCCGTTTGTGTCTGCAGGTGGACCGGGCCGCCGCAGGACTGCTGGCTCTCGGACTCACCAAAGGAGACCGGCTGGGCATGTGGGGGCCCAACACCTACGAATGGGTCCTGTTCCAGTTTGCAACAGCTAAAGCTGGTATAATCCTGGTGAGCCGAAGCTGCTCTCTGAATCACACGAACTGTCGGGTGCAGGATGTAAACTCTGACGCCCGCTGCTGAAACTGTAAAAAAAAAAACTTTTTATTTGTTTAAGACGTATTTATTCAGGTAATTCTGCAGCTTTATTTATATTCTGACTTTTTATTCCTCCTGAATAACTCATTTTGTGTTCGTGCGTACAACTAAGATGTAAATCAAATCAAACCGAATGCTGTGATGTGTAAATCTCATGAACCCATATTTTATCTGCACAGTAAATAGATCAGATCATTTCCTGGGAAAATGTCTCTAAAATGTTAATTTTAAACGAGCTTGGGTCCAGAGCAGACCGCAGCGGTTCTGGTTGTTCATACGACTCGTGAAGTCTTATTTTATAAAAATCTACAGAGCTCGACTGTTTTGACAGTTTCTGCAACAAATTTTAACAATAATAAAATTAGAAATTTTAGCCTCAAAGATCCTAAAACACAAAGTCTTGACTCTTTTGGTTATTTTATAAGATGTGTTGAGTAAATAAATAAACGAGTACGAAGGGAAAGTTCATGTATTTATACGAGATGGAGAACTTGATGAAGAATTATAGAAACAAACGTTTTAATTTGGTTCCTCCCTCCAGGTTTCTGTGAATCCAGCGTTCCAGCAGCAGGAGGTGGAGTTCGCCTTACGACAGGTGAGCGTTCGTTTTACAGAAACATTTTATTTTATCTGAATCGCATTAAGACGAACGTGACGCTGTTCATGATTGACAGGTCGGGTGTAAAGCGGTCGTTTGCCCCACGGTGTTCAAGACTCAGAAATACTGTGACATGCTGAGGAAGATCTGTCCTGAAATTGAGTCGTCCAGCCCAGGAGACATCAGGAGTGCCAGGTAGGACAGGTGTTCAACCGAGTCGGGCGTTAGGCTCGGTTCTGTTCTGGAACACGGTGTCCTCAATCTGTGCAGGGTACAATGAAATCTCAAGACTATCAAGGCACTCTGGACCAAAAAATGTTCTGCTTGTCAGAACGCTTGTTCCCAGTCACAGGCCGTGGCTCGTCACAGGATGATGACCCAAAACAGCTAAAACACCAAGAATGGATCAGAACCAGACATTGGACTGTTCTGAAGTCAGAACCCTTTAAACCTGAGACAGCTGGACCACTTTGAGTATGAGGAGTGGACCAGAACACTTGCAGACAGGTGGACCAGAACACCCGCGGACTGGAGAACCAGAACACCCGCGGTCAGGTGGACCAGAACACCCGCGGACTGGAGAACCAGAACACCCGCGGTCAGGTGGACCAGAACACCCGCGGACTGGTGCAGAAGTCTAGAAGTCACTTGGTTGCGTCAACAAGTTGAGCAACAGATTATTCAATCAGTGTTGGATGTTTTGAGTCGAGGCCAGATGTTTGAGTTCTTAAATGAATTCTGTTGATCCAAACATCAACAACAACTGATTGTCAGTAAATATTTTATTTTTATAACTTTATACCGTTTCAGGTCTTGTTTGTGAATTATTTAGATTTTTCTTTCTTCGACAGAAGGAACCAACATATTTACGCGGCACTGTTTATAAGAAACAGCTGTTGTTATTTTTTTACTTCATTGAATCCAGTGACGGAAAACGTTCAGACACCTCCAGTGAAGCCTGCCCTCCCACTAATACTAACTTTAGAACTTTAACTTTAACAAAAGGAAGTACCGAGCTTCACAAAACGGTAAAAATGTTAAAGTAGCAAGTCACTGGCTCGTTTAGTTTTTCCATTTCTTCACAGATCATTTATTATTTTATTTATATTTATTTTCTTATGCAGACATGAAGCAGAGCTGCAGCATTCAAAAGAAAACCAAACGCACCTTTAGATGTTTGTAGTTGTAGCTAAAGACACGTCGAGCCGCTGAAGCTTCTTCTTTTCACTTTGTTCTCAGCTGCAGGTTCTGGCCCCAAACGAACCTTCATTAATTTCAGGCGGGACCGTTGACACGCCCACAGCTCACCCACAGGTGTGCACTGGACTGCGTGTGTCTCAACAGTTATTTTGTAGAAAAAGAACGACGCCTGCTCTGCCGTGATGCACGGTGGAGGGAGTATCATGGTGTGAAAAAGTCTGGCTCCCCTCTGTTAAACTATTTAAGGTTTTAGAAGTTACTGAATAAAATTATTTTTTCCTCTCTCAGGACTTTGACTCCAGCAGCTTGTGGGACTGAACTTTGCTTTAATCTGCTTTGAGACGATGAACAGTTGTAGTTCTGCCCTCATCGCTCAGTTTAAATCACCTGTGAGGAGTCTCAGGTGTCGAACCCTCGGTGGGAATATTTGTGCAGAACGTTTCGTCAGAAGTCTCCACACTCAGAGGAACAACGTGGTCTCAGTTTTACAGTCAAAGCAGTTTCTTACATCTTAGTTTCATTTATTTAAGCTTTATAGCTGAATGTTACCTCCCTCACCTGCTTTGTGTCATTCCTGAGCTCTCAGGGAGCGTACCTTTCTGACATTTTCTTCTGTCTACCTGGTCCCCCCCCAGGCTCCCAGACCTCCGCTCTGTGATCACTCTGGACAGTCGGCAGCCGGGAATGTTCCACTTTGAAGACGTGATGCAGGCCGGCAGCAGCCAGCACGCCCAGCAGCTGCAGGATCTGCAGAAGAAGATCTCCTTCGACGACCCCATAAACATCCAGTTCACTTCGGTAATTACACCCCCACTCCCCAAGAGGCCACGGCGGAGCGATCACCGGTGTCTGGGTGTGAGCGTTTGTTTATCTCGACTTGTGGAAACTAATTCAGCCGCCACAGCTGATCCAAATTAGCTGCAAAAACTGGTATAAGTCAGTTTGATGGATATTGAGCTAAAGTTTAATGTGGTGGTAGCTGAACGAGGCTGGAGTTTAAAACTTCGGCTCTACCTGTCGGAGTCGGCACTGCCTGTCTGTTAGCAAAATATCTTTTAGTGCGACTCTCCTGAAGTAATCACTGCCTGTACATCCGTAACGACCCAGTTGAAGATGGCCGCCGCAGCTAATCCACATTAGCCGCATTTACTCAACACACACTGTGATTTATCACATCTCACAAGATGTGGCTGTGGCGGCCATTTTTAATTAAATCTCCAACCAAGCCTTTAATTTATTAAAGCAGAAATATAAGCCGGACAGTAAAGACTTCACTTTTATTTAATTCTTTATTATTTAACAAATGAAAACAATTTCAGTTTATTAAAGATGAGAAAAAAATGTTCATTATTAACTAAAAATATAGAAGTTATCATGCAACAATGCTTACAGACAAGATTAAAAACAGCAAATGTTTAATGATGCATTAAAACGTTAAATTATTACAATAAACTCAGCACCTTTTCCTTAAAATAATCATTTTAGGTTGTACCTTGTTAGTTTAGACATTCATTAAAATAAATAAACTCTTGGTTGTACAACCTAAATGTCAGTTTTTATTTGTAGTCGGTGTCAGATCATTATTTTTACGTTCACAACCTGTTTATGGTTTAATAAACCTGAAATTAAAACATTTTCAGGGCACGACTGGGAGGCCGAAAGGAGCCGCTCTGTCTCACCACAACATCGTCAACAACGCCTTCTTTATTGGGAAAAGAATGGGATACACCTGGATGGTGAGTACGAACCGTTTTTTAAGATCAGCGTTCATAAACCACTTTTTTATTTTATGAAAAGATCTGTTGAGAATTTTTGCCTACATACATACAGAATTTATTAAAACATCAGAAGATTTTCTGTTTTATTTTGAAAAGGCCAACAAATGAACTTCAGCGGCTCTCATTTGATCAAAACTAATTTTAAGTCTCTGGAATAATGTGATGCAAACGCTTTTCCTCCGAAGGAAGCAGAACTTTTTTATTTGTTTTTAATTGAGACAAAAAACGTCCAACTTCCAGGCTGACGAGCTTCAACAGCAGAAAAAACAGATGTTTATCACAGCTGGATCAATGTGCACATTACCAAAACCACAAAGGCCTGCTTGGACTGCACACCCAGAGTATATTTAGCTAAATAACGGATTCTTAGCGTTTTCTTTCATAACAGAACCGTGGATAACGTGCAGCTTTGTGTTCGGCTCTGACAGAGCCCAGACCTTCTCTGATGTTTACATTTTCCTACAGCCCGTCCTTCGTATCTGCGTGCCGGTGCCGCTGTACCACTGCTTTGGATCTGTGGGTGGAGGGATCATAATGGCCGTGCACGGAGCCACCGCGGTCTACCCCTCCGCAGGCTACAATGGAGCGGCCAACCTCGCGGCCATGGAGAGCGAGAGGTACCAGAACCCAACGCTTCACGGCTGAACTGATCATGAACGAAATGATGGCTCGAATCAATCAGACTTTAATCTGCGTCGGCCCACGCAGGGTTAAAGTATGTTAGAAAATAAATAAATCGGACTTTAATCTGCATCGGTCCACGCAGGGTTAAAGTATGTTAGAAAATAAATAAATCGGACTTTAATCTGCGTCGGTCCACACGGGGTTAAAATATATTAGAAAA